GAGACCCTCCACCCTAAAGGACTCCTTCATGGAGACCCTCCACCCTAAAGGACTCCTTCATGGAGACCCTCCACCCTAAAGGACTCCTTCATGGAGACCCTCCCCCTTTTGGAAGCTGTTTACAGGACAGTGAGGGTTACTGCTGTAGGGAACAAGCTCCATCATCAAATCTGAGTCTATAGACCAAAAACAGAATGTCAGACTAATCTAGCTTTATGTTGTATGTTGGTGCCATTCAGGGTTTTTCTAAGCCAGTCCGTCTTATATCTGGGTAGTTTCTGATCGACTGACTCCACACTCCTCTGCTTTAGTGTAAATCACTGCTAAGTATGGAGGCTTTCCTGTTAAACTGCTCCCCACTGACCTTGTTTCATCATATCTCCTCCTGGCTCTGGATCATCATTACAACAGCGCCATGTTTGCCAGAGAATAATGGGGCAATGGGTCAGTGTTCACTGGCTGCTTCTAACCCACCCCACCCATCACTGCAGCAGACCACTGACCTGCAGGTTGTGGAGCCCGACCTGCTGCAGCCAAGCTCACCTGATGCAGCTGTGACCCAGATCTCAGACCAGAACCTCCTCTTCCTTCACCTGTTTAACCAATAATTCTTTTATTTCCTTAATATCATCTAATTTCTGCTGTTTGATCTGAGGAAGGAAGGATGAGATAACTAAACGCTGCACACAGACTAGTGAGATAAAGATGGATGCTGAGTGAACTATTCCTGAGTCCATCCTCATGGATGACACCTATTCTCTCACTGAGCGAGTCACTAGTTCCTTTAATAAACCGTCTCTTTGAAGCTGATTGGCAGCATTTAGTGCCGCTGCCATTAAAACCAACTGGAGCGGTTTGATGGTTTTACTGGAAAAACAGGCAGCCACCTGAGCATGGCACACCTGGAGGAGTTGGTTTTGTTTACAGTAAGGGCACAATAACGTTGGGGTTAACCCTGGAAGAAAAAGCTTTTGGAAGGTTCTGTGCATCTCTGCAGTCAGTAGCTGCTGAACGAGGGTGACTGTAAAAATCTGAGCTGGATTAAAGACCCACTGCGTGGTCAGTCAGCAGGACCTCCAGTAGCTGATGGGACGAGCTGCAAAGGTCCTCAGGAGAACCAGCTTTTCCACCAATAGAGTTTTGGGTTTGTAAGCTCTGCTGGACATCCGTCCGTCCTCTCAGACAATTTCAGGACTGCTTTAGGGACCATTTGTCCATTTAAGTCAGATCACATGATCTTCAAAGCATCCAGATCAGATCCAGGATCTCCTTCATTCCAGAGATGTTCAGATGTTCATTGTTCATGATGATAAACTTTTAATAAAATCATACATCTGATCAAAGTGTTCAGTAGCTGCTTGATGTGACTGAAATAAACACTATTTCTAACAATGAGTCATTCCTGTGAAGCTTCTCCAGGATTGTTAAAATACGTTGGTGCCACAGAATTGGGGCCTTAGTGTCTGCTGCCCCCTATCTGTAGATCAACAGCACTACATGAAATGATGTGGACAGCAAATATAGAATAGAAAATCCCTTTATTTTCCCCCCATGGGTAATTCTGGTATTTACATCAACAACAGGATAAAAATTGTCACACAAATGTGGACCTTAGAAAAATGTATCAGAATAAAATAATAGTGAAGAGTTAAAAGATAAACAATAAAATCCTGTAAAAAGTGTTTTAACAATATAAAACTGGAGAATAAATACCCAATATGCAGCTATGGACATTTTTCCAGTAATGGATATTTGAAAATAGCAGCAACATCAGAGATGTGCAGAATGACAGCAGAATGTTATTTAACTAAGGTAGAAACTGAGCAAAATCAGCATGAATGGAACAACTGATTGAGGTTGTTGGGAACAGTGGTGGTTCTAGAATCTTCCAGCTGCTGGGAGGAAGGAGCTGTGATAACGCTCCCTGGTGCATTTAGGGGGCAGCAGTCTGTCACTGAAGGAGCTCCATCATCGTCCCTGCTGGGGTGGCAAGGGCTGCCATCTACGGGTAAGAGGCACCGTCCGCCCTGGATAGGGGGGCGGGGTCCACCCTGGACAGAGGGGCGGGGTCCACCCTGGACAGAGGGGCGGGGTCCATCCTGGACAGAGGGGCGGGGTCCATCCTGGAAAGGTCGCCAGTCCATCTCAGGGCAACACAGAGACAAACAGGACAAACAACCATTCACACTCACACCTAAGGAGAATTTAGAGACCAGAACCGGAACTGGAACCAGTCAGGAGAAACAGAAGGTTTTATTGAGCTGTGGAGATAAACAACATCTAGTGTAGAAAATACTGATTATCAAAAAGGCAAAGTGATAGAAGACCCTTTGGGGGGACGGGGGAGGGTCACTGTTGCCATAGAAACGGAGCAGCAGTCCTTCCTCCTCCTGGTGTCACATGAGCGACCTGCGGCCGAAGGAATCAGGACGTTTCAAGAACCAAAGTTCTGCTGATGCTGCTGGAACCACCTGATCCAGGAACCTGGTTGCCCTGGTTACCAGCAGAGTGCAGCGGCCCGGAACCACAGAGGAACTCGTTAGGTGTCTATGTTGGGGCGTGTGGTGCGGCTCAGTTCTTCTTCATGTCCTCCAGCAGTTTTATGATCCGCTCGTTCTGCTCGATGATCTTCTGGCTGTACTCGTTGTCCTTCTCGCACTGCTGCCTGATCAGGCGCAGCAGCGCGTCTCCGCAGCGCTTCCTACTGGGCTGCGGCGCAGTCAGGCCGTTGCTGGTGGAGGCTGCGGCACGGCAGGGTGGCGGGGAAGAGCGGCCCTTGTTTGGGGCCCCACATGAAGCGATGAGGTGAGGGGCCTCCACAGCTCCCCGCTCCCCGATGGCCTCATGCATGGCTTCAAACCAGGGCCAAGTGGCGGCCCTGCCCTCCTCCTCAGACGACCTCAGGTTGGGGTTCGTCAGCTCCTGCAGGAGGAACGCGGATCGTTAGCCTACCTTAGCTTTCTGTCAGCTAACGACATCCTAACAGGAATCTACCTTGTATTTGGATTTGAGGTTGTCCCACTTCTTGGCCGCCTGGGTGGGAGTGACCACCCCTTCCACCCCCGTCTCCTGGATGACCTGCCTTATGATGTCACAGCGTTAGTCAGTGGACTCATGGATGGACAGAAGCAGGACTGGGATGGACTTACTGCCACGCTCCGTGGACCTTGTTTCTCTTCCCCGTGAACAGGAAGTCCAGGCGGGTTCGGGTCTGGATGAACCTCAGCGTGTCTTCGTCTGTGACTGCGGGACAGAAGGATCCAGACTTTACTGGTTCCAGCAGGAACCGCTTTGTCTTTCTACACCGAGTTACAGACAGGAAACCATTTATTGTTAACGGAAAAAACCCACAGTGGACAGGAAGCAGCCGGCTTCCTCTACCTGCTGCTCTGCTCATTGGCACTTTGGCAGAGACTCCTCCTGCTTCCATTCATCAGGATTCAACCGTCAACCATCAATCATCTGAAGACTGAAATATGGAGGCAGAAGGAATGCCGCACGCTTTTCCCTGCAGACTTCCGGGAAACAGCCGCTTCCTGTGGCGCCTGCAGAGGGCGCTGCTGCTGCACCAGAACCATGGAGATCCATGGAGACCCACCAGAACCATGGAGAACCACCAGAACCATGGAGACCCATCAGAACAATGGAGATCCATGGAGACCCACCAGAACCATGGAGAACCACCAGAACCATGGAGAACCACCAGAACCATGGAGACCCACCAGAACCATGGAGATCCATGGAGACCCACCAGAACCATGGAGAACCATCAGAACAATGGAGAACCAC